TAAGAGCAGCAAAATGAACTAATAGAATACTGCACAATTTCTCCGAAGTATCTCAGAAATATCTGAAACAAATTACAATTGTTACGAATATATTGCCAAAGAAATATATATTCAAAAGATTTAGAGGGTACGGGCTCGAACAATTTTCGAACTTTCAACCCCTCCCAAATACGAATTCAAAATCTTCACTCTAATATTTACTATTTCTATTTTTATATTGGAAAACAACGTATAGAAAAACTTAAAGTGTTTCCTTTTCATTCAGTTTATTCGTTATTATCTCTGTCTCATTTTCTCTGAACATCAGTGTGAGTGTTTAGATTTTGATAATTCAAATTTTACTTATATACTAGATCAACCTTAAAAAAAAAAAAAAAAAAAAAAAAAAAAAATCCGCCAATTGGTTCTGTTTCTGACAACGTGATAGGAAGACAGAAAATTTAACAGCCAACTTTTTCAAAATATGAAGCATTCAAAAAAAAAAAAAAAAAAAAAAAAACAAGTTGGCAGCGAACTATTGTCTGTATAATGGGGAATATATTTATGGGAAGGAATACATTTATGGGAATATATTAAATGAAGAATTACTTAACCTTAAATTCTAACTGCCAGGCAAAACGAATTGAATCTTTCCTTATAAATGCCTTAGTTGAACAGAACTCAACCAAGTACCATTAATCTTCTTATGGGTTAAAAAATTCTATTTTGGTTTGAGATGGAACCGTAGTTTCTTCGAATGAAAGAAATCTTGGATTCTATCTCCCCTTGTTCTTATTCTACCTCCTGTCATATAAAAAGAAGTGAAGCAGCTTTTGTAAGAGTAGCACCCGCTGGGAAGATTGAAGGAAGAGGGGGAGAAATTCCCTCCGAGTGCATCTCTGGAGGGAAAAACCCGGCTGTGAAGCGACGGCCCTCAATCAACGCAGTAGGATGGAAGAAGAACAGCGCAGAGAAACGGGAAAATGGATTTCGGGGGATTGGTGTCCTGTTTCGGTAATGTAAATCTTGACTCAGAATCAAATGTTACCAACATATTAACAGCAAAAATCCAGCATATTAAGGACACTAGAGATGTCGGATTATCAAACATACCTGATTATCAAACTAAACTGTATAATGCCGCAAAACAATTTTTTCTTCACTTTAACCAATGTATTTAAGAATGAAAATATTACATGTAATAAATCTGCAAATATATTGAATGAGTAAAACATATTGGTAAATAAATTTATTCCTAGTTTAATTATAATATTTAGTCAGTTTTTTTTTTCCGTTACCATTATTGACATTATATGTAGTATGCTTCAGGGATTCCTCTGTTTAAAAAATTGTAGATCAGTAATATTTATTATTTCCCCGAAAATTGTGTTTTTCGTTCCTTCGGGGATTTTCATAAATGTATTTAGTGCTTGATCAGCTTCAAAGCCAAATGATTTTGATTAAATCTTCTTCGTCTTTCTCTTCGGATTCAGCACATTTTGCATTACGATGAATTAACGCTTTTAACTTTTACGATGAATTAACGCCACTTAACGCTTTTGAGTGAATTATTAAAATGAAATGTTGATCAACATTTTTATCAAGCTTCGAAACTATTCTAGATAAGCAAAGCAAGCAAAATAGCATAAGGTTTTAGTTTACAACTCTGATAATAATGAAAACGAAAATCCTATTTACACAGTGATACAGAGGCAGAAAGATGTCGGTAAGTTCGAAGAACCGGAACCCTATGTAAGATCGTTAGGAATGAAAACTAACAACAAAAACAAATAATAATAAAAAAAAGAAAAACAAAATCTGAAATGTTTCAGATTTTAAATTACGTCCAAAGGGGCGTTTTTTAACATTTTGTGTGTTACCTTTCTTTATTAAATATCATGTTCCTCGCACTTAAACCATAAGATCCAGTGCAACAGCAATATCGCAAAATAGTTTTAAAACGAGCATATCTTTAGAATTTCCGATACAGAGACTCACGCGCTGGAGATAAAAATGTTTTTTCTGCACAACGTTGCCACTGCTCGCTTTGAAATCCTTGAGTTTGTTAGTCAAAAATTCGTCAAAGTTTTAAAAAATAGGAAATCGATCATAAAACAAATTTCAAATTTCAAATTTGGTCTTCCACATGCTCATATTCGTTGGAGGATTACGTTATTCAAAATTCGATGACTCTATGTACCGTTGTTTTATCACAATACGAGAAATATACATACATTTATGCAGATTTTTCATTATTTAATTTCTTCAAATATAATGCAGGACTCTAACATTTTGTGGCAACAGTTTGAAAAGTGAACCGACATTTATGAGTCCGACGCAAAATGCCAAAACGAAACTAATAGTCCTTCGGGATTCAAATCCCTTTGGACTAAAAATAGTAAAGTAGTATAGTTAATAATTAAAATAATTAAATACAATGTAATGAGATTAATAAAAATTTAATAAATTATTAAACTAATGGTAAATAGGTAAATAAATAAAAATTTAATAAATTATTAAAGTGATGGTAAATAGTTAAATAATAAAATGAAATACTCGACGTCGTCTCATTTGGGGTTCTGGCTGTAATTACAATTTCACTCAATAATAATAATAATAAAAAAATAGCTGTACCGGGCTCTAGCTGGATTTAAGTCCTGAATATATTATTTCCCCGAAAATTGTGTTTTTCGTTCCTTCGGGGATTTTCTATGCTTGATGACAGAAACAAAGACCATTCTTTTCCAGGCACACCAATGAGAAAAGTTAAAACGCTTAAAGCGTGGCTAATGAGAATAGAAAGAATGCTATAAACAGTATCAGAGCATGGAGGAAATTTTAACGGAGGATGCCTAGACATGAACACAAAGAGAGAAGCGTTCAGCATCGTCTGACTACGTCCCTTTGCTTATTTGAGTTCCATGCTGTCAAACAATATATGATCCCCCTTCCCCCCCAAAAAAAAAAGATTTTCACCGAATCCGATAGTTAGCTGACAAAAAGGTAACTAGTGAGGTGACCATTTTCGTCTCACTTATTTGGTTCCAGAAAATCTGAAAATGTGCTTTTCCGTAGCAAGATAGCGCTGGAACGAAAAATTTACCCGCTGTCACAAATTCCTTGCAATTCCTGAAGAATAAGCCTCTAACATCTAACATGTGGGTAGAAGCTTTTCTTTGCTTAAAAGTTTCAACCTCCGTCCCAGGGCTGGTTTTCCACGGAAAGAGAGACATACATTGAGATATTAGAATCGATTTTAATTTTATATGTAAAATAAAACATTCTGCTGAAATGACGGTTCAGTTGCGCAAAACACGTGTCTCTTATTTAGGGCTCCAGTGCGCTCTGGCTAGAATTACGATTTATCTCGAAAATTAAGAAGTATCGGGTCCTTCTTAATTTTCGAGATAAATCGTAAACCTACAGAGCTTACCGCAGAGCTTAAATTGCGCCAGAACCTAAACCTTAAATTGCGCCAGGCTCTGCGGTATCCTTTCCAAAGATTTTTCTGCCTTGAAGAAAAGTTGCAGGGTTAGATAAAGAGGCCGATACTTTTATGACTGGGTACCATTATGAAGGCGTTTCATTCCCTTTGGGTATTGGAAAGATTCGTATAACTGAATTTTTTCGTTCTAGTAGATCAAAAATATATTTATTACAATGCAAACATGGAAAGTTGGTTTTCTTTATTTTATTTTTAACAAAAATAATATGTTTAAAAAAATATTTTCGTTTCAATGAAATAAAATACAAAACCAACTTTGGCGGTAAAATTAAACAATGAAAGTAATTAGTTATTTGCTTAAGTAAAAACCCCTTTTCTTTTTCAATTAAAATAAAATAATAAAATACATCTTTATTTACGCTGTGACAATAAATAGTAGTTAATCTTGTTTTAATTTTAACTACTCGAAAATTAAACAAAACAGTTTTTCATTATTATTATTATTATTATTATTTTTTTTATTTTGCTAAGTGAAATTCGTAACTGATTCTGTTAAGCTAAAACTAAAACTAATCTGAGCAACTATTTATTATTGACCTAAAACAATAAAATAACAAAATTTACTCTATGCAATTTTGGCACTTGTAATTTATAATCAATTTGATTTTAACTAAAAAAATCAAAATAGCGTTTATGACTGCTGTTATTTAAAGTAAGTAGCTAAAGCCGGGTTTTTCTGAAGAGCAATGGTTCATTCCTCCACTTTAAAACGAGACTCCAAACCCTTCTATATAATGTCAAATAGGAAAATATAAGTTTTTTTTTTCCAGTTCTAGGTTTCCAAAGTATAAAATTAGAAGCAGAAACTATCATTTTTCTTCCATGTTTTTAAAGAAAACGAATTTTTAATTCTACATTTTTATTGATATACTTCGAACTGATAAATGATTTAACTGCATTTATCTGATCATATCTCTGTAACTTAACTGAGATTTATCCTAAAATAAATAGAAATTCCAATTTTCTGTTTATTTCGGGGGGGGGCAGAAAAAACGTTATCGGCTCAAAGTTTATAAATATGTACATTATGTAACATACGCTAAACGAAGACCATGAAAACAAAATGCAAAACGATTTTTTTTTTTTTTTTTGTTTGTTTAAATAACTGTGATTGAAAAATGTTAAATTGTAAGGTTATTTTACAAAACGCTTTATTTGAAATATAATTTGCATCGCATCTACTACATTGGAATCATTTATCTATTACGTTGAAGTTATTAAAGGAAGAGGTCCTCTATAATATATTTTGTAGACTAGCCTCTGATCTTGTAAACAGGTCCTTCAACAAGCTAAAACTATACCTAACTTATAAGATAAAGCGATCCAGATCTTTAGAATTCTGAATAGCTAATCCTCTACCAGCTTCCAGCAGCACTGCGTCTCTCTTTCATTCTTAAATTTTACTTTCAGTATCACTGAAAGATTCAATGCACTTTGTAGGCAATCCCCTACCAACAAGCCTCCTGGCGGCACGGCGGGAAGTTTCGTTTCAAAGGCGTGGATGGCTAAGTTCTACTAATAACACAAACCAGAACCAGTCTGCTTGCAAGTTATCTCGCGATGTCGTTGCTCTTCAGCGCGACACGCTGTGTTTACCAAATTAGAATACCTCTGGCCAACTCCTTGATAAGAGAATTGTCATGAATGGGATTTTCGTTCCTGTGGAACGAGGTGATTACAAACCGCTCGTTCGGCTCCTCGTGAATGAGAGACGAAGGGACAGAGGACTTCTTCCAGAATTCGTGACTGATTTCTGATTTTGCCATTAGCCTTACCTGCTTACATCAATGAAAAGATTATCCAGAGCTATGGTAAGTTATTACACGTAAATTTAGTTTTCAGTAGCATAAGTTCTTCTGTGTGAATAAAATTTTCATGGTATTAAAAGAATTTCATTTCCGATATATATGTTGGAAAAGTTTTATATTAAGCCACACTATTCGATTCTTACCAAGCCGTCCTGTGGTTAGCAAAGCACAGATATTCCTAACTGCCCATCTTCAACTGGAGCAGTGTTATCATGCATAGGAAAGGCATAGATGTTCCTAACTGCTCATTTTCCAACTGGGGCAGTGTTACCTCTGCGATGCCACCCTGGGCGGCTGTGTCGAAATAGCTAAATGACCGATGAGTTCGGTCATTCCCGACCAATTATTAAAAAAACTTTCTGGCCATTGGAAAGGGGGTGCGAGATATTAGTTTCAAAGAATCCAGCTATTTGAAAAAAAAAAATTAAAAAAATTCTTGCTTCCACAAGCAGTTAGTATCAGTAAAACGTCAATAACAACACTAGACTATAAACTAAACATCAATAATAATTCTCTAATTCTACAAAAGCAGAACTGATTGGAACCGAAGCCAAACTGTGTATTCGCAATATCCAGATAAATAGATAATCTTTTTCCTATAGACAAAATATGAACTTACTGTGATATATATGATGAAATATTTTACCATGCATCGTATTTTGTAGCTACCGAGGTTATATAATTTTAAAAGTAAAACTTTCATTTGTGCAAAACAAGATAACAAAGCTTACCCTTTTAGGCAAAATTGAACAATAGAGTTAGTTGTCGAAACACATGGACTGATTTCATTTCCAACTAACTAAGGACACGAGACTAAATTTTATTTACGTAAAGCCTAAAATTAAGTCCGTAATTAATTAACTGTGCTAAAATTAAACAAAGAAATTATTCTTATTTGTGAAAAACTAAGCTCAGCAACCTATCCAACTAAACTTCAAACAATCTATTTTTTGACTGACATAAAATAATAAAAATTTTTTTAAATTATTTTTATACTAGTTTGAAGTTAAATTATAGAAGCTTATTATCAGTCTATTATATTTATAACAACGAAAGAGTTAAAAACGGATGAGTAAATTAAAAAAAAAAAAAAAAAAAGGCTAAATTTTATTGAAAAAAGAAAATAACCGATGCAGGTACTTTTAAGTTCTGGATATCAAAGACCGGATGAATGTTGCTCTATTACAGGGGGTCTCCAAATTTTTCAGCCCTCGAGCCATATTTGTTCTTCACGAAGCTTCGAGGGTCAAGATCCACTTAATTCATCATACCATGGCGATGCAACTATGATGAACAGCATACAAGTTTTTAAACGAGGCACCCTATGATCTTACGAAAAACCTTGTTTTTTAGACTTTTATGCATTTTCACCTAACATAAATTTTTTAAGGCTTTTTTTAAACATTTGCAAAAGTATATTTCTGTCCCAGAATATTAGAGATCTCTTCGATTTAGTACTTTACTTTTCTCTCGATTTATCAGCGGATTTTCTTTACATTTTGATCAGGTGCAAACATTCGCTCATATATATTTCATATTTTGAGCAAGTTTTGTGTTACGATGAAAGTAGGCAAGATAATGCACGAAACCTTTATTAAATCTTAAAAGTACAACGAGAATTTTTACTTCCTTGTACGAAGTAAGGAAGTATTGTAATTGCGAAAAATTGAGACTTCAACGAATCAATACTTCAACGAAAATATCCATTTTAACCGCTCTCGAATCCATTTGAACGATTTGTTTTTGGCGTGACATATGTATGTATGTACAAACAGAATAAAGAAATCTTTTTCCCAAAATAGATTTTAAATGGATTCAGAAGAGATTTTATTCGGGACGTATGTACGTACGTATGCATGTATCTCGCATAACTCGAAAACGAGTACTTTAAAACATTGAAATCTTGTATATGGGACTGCTATAACGTGTAGTTGTGCACTTCTCGTTTTGGTTGCAATCGGCAACATCAGAAGTCTATATATATTTAATCACTCTGTTACCCAACCCGGTGGGCTCAGTTTTTTTTTTTTTTTCATTCTTATATGTTTGTAAATTGTACTATTTTTGCTTTCAAAGTGACTCATTTATGAGTTTTTACATTCTGGTTAAGGATTTTATGACTTTAGTTAATCTTCATGCAATAGTAGTAGAACTATCAATAATTTAAAACTTGTTGGTGCTACTAAGCCTAACGGACTCGACATTTGTTTACATTTTAAAGTCTTGTTTTGTTTGAAGATGTTTTGAGTGTTTATGTATTTTCGCCTCGTCTCGAAATTAAAACTGAATTGACTGAATGAGAACTATATCTCTAATGAAATTCGACGAAATAAAGATTAAATAAAGTGCGGCAAAAAATGTATATAATTTAAAGGACATATTAGGAAGTCATATGTGTCCCCATGAGATTTTTTGTATAGAGTGTTACTGTATTTCTCTCATTGTAAATTTAAAAACGGTTATATAATATTTATAATATGTTTTATAAAGAAGGCCACGCATTTTTAGATTGGCTATTATATAAAATATTTAATGCGTCTGTTATTTGTCACTTTAAATCTTATAAAATTATTTTAATGAAACCCTTGGAGGGCCGTATCATTAGTGCTCGCGGACCAGATTTGGCCCTCGGGCTGTAGTTTGGAGACCTCTGCTCTATATCATTATATTTCGAATGTTGTGTAAGAGTATATTCTGAATCTTTGTACTCATTCATCCTTAAACAGCGTAATGGTTCTGTTTCGTGTTATTTAGCTGGAAAAATAATCATGTAAAAATATGTTAACATAATTATTTTTTTCATTCCATAAAGTTTAGGTAAAATTTTGTTCACTTGCAATGATATTTGACAGAACCTGGAATTTCATGCAACTCTTCTAGGGAATCTGAAAGTCAAAGTTAAAATTTGGAAGAATTAAGAGTTTTTAAACACCCTGCGATTGACAATGACATTTAAAGACCATGCGACTGATATTCACATAATAATTAAAAGAACAGAAATAGAATGGAAATAGGAAAAAAAAAAAAAAAAAAAAAAAAAGATAAAATAATAGAAGAAAGAAAAATCTTATATATATCTATTGTATATTCTGTTGTGTGTGTATTTTTTTCTGTAATTGTTGTTACCTAAAATAATCAATCGTGAATAAAATGATAATGATTTTTTTTTTTTCATTTTTGATATGATACGTAAGTGTATGCAACACTGATGCAATGTTTTCATTGCATTTTAATGTTCACTCTTTTAAGGATGGTAAGGGTTTGGACAGATGAAGCTATTGGGAATTCGGGGAATTTACCGCGGCGCCTGTGGCCATATATCCGTCACCTGATACTGAGGGTTTAACGCAGTGTTTCTTGATTATTTATGGTGTTGGGACCTCATAATATTTACGAAAATTTTCTGGGACCCATAAGCATTGCGCAAATCCGACACACGCGTGAGTGAAACTATCAGTTTCTTCACTTGTAATGCAATGCACTATTGCAGTTAAGCCATTAATTTTTAAAATGAACTTTTCTATTATATATTAAAAAAAAAAAAAAAAAAAAAAAAATGCGTCGAAACGGTTTCGCTTTTTCCATCCAGAGGGCGCCGAACTGATGTTACGAATTTTTAGAATGAAATGTTTTCCATTCTTTGCAAACAAGAGTGGCGCGTGATCTCCAGGGTCCCCCGGCGCTGTAAAACCGAAGCACTACAGCTGTGCGAACATAGTAACTAATATTAGATGGACGGGTTTTAGCTTCTATACCATACTTTTGTATATCGTTAAGAAGCTGAATTTTGTTTCAAAATTATTCTGAAATACAGAAAAATTAAAAATGGTTAAATGTTGTGTTGTCACTTGAATTCAGATAATTTAGTATTTATCTTGAATCGTTTAAAATCAAAAAACGGTTTGCCTTAAAACTTAGAAAATAATGATTATTAATGTAAAACAAAAAGAAAAATTTTTAAACTGCTAAAAAATGTGCTCTCTAATCAGATTTTTGAATGAATTTGGTAACTCCTAATTCCAATTTCAAGTAATCCTTCGTCGGAAAAACTCTTCCTTCTATAAGGATAAAATACTAAAAAGAACTCGTAAATTTACACATGAAGTAATTTTATTAGCGTTTTGCCGCTTTATTATTTTTTTTCCATACAGTTTCTTTGTAATGGCTAAACAAACAACAAAAAAAAAAAAAAAAAAAAGCTGCTAGACAATTTATGACGTGATTAAAAACTCCATTTTTTTTCAGTTAATTTCCCCCCTCTCTCTTTTTGAAAAAGGACAGAGTTTAATGGAATTTATCAACCTAGATCGAGAGGGGGGAGGGAAAAACACTTTCAACCCAAGGATATATTTCTTTTTTCTTTTTTTCCCCTTTCCTGTTTAATACCAAAAAGTGGCACCTGAATGCTAAAGTGTTTAAGAAAGAAGCGAAAAGTGCACCTTTTCTTAGCAAACAAAATGGAGAGAAATGTGGAAGTTCTTAAAAACAACATGAAACTTCCATTAACATTTTCAAAAGTGTTCTCTAAGTAATCTATAAGATAGCTTTCACCGAAAATCTATTTCGCAATTATTTATTTAGTTGCAGCGACTTTATGAACGTAGAAAATTTAATTTAAACAGAATCAGTTTAAACAATTCTCAAGACTTTGGCATTTTTCTTGTTATGTATTAATTCAAAAATAGTATTAGAGTAGTACTTTTCTTTTTCAAAATTTATTTCGTAGATATAGAAAGTTATTGCCTACGAAAACTTTCTATATCTCCAAACACTTTTTTGTTTAATATCTTATTAGTTTCTTTCAGCAACAATATAGCATATAAAGTCTTCTGAATGAGTTTTGTAATTGCATCTTTAATCAAGCACTCTTTAACCTGTAATTATTCTTCATAAATAAAATTAAGTAACTTTTTCAAGAATATCTATATTTATTATAAACTCTATATGTTAATAACCGCCCAAACGGAATAGTAGTTAGCGATGCTGACTGCCGGTACTGAAGG